TAGATGGATAAATAGGTAGATAGATACATTCATACACAGATAGATAAATATATGTATAGATAAATAGTTAGATAGATAGATAGGTAGATATAATAATAGATAGATATAAATATATAGATAGATAGATAGATAGAGAGATAGACAGATAGATGGATAGATAGTTAAATAAATAGCTAGTTAGAATATGAAAAAGAAAACTCATAATAAGACATATAGACAGGTATTATTCGATTGCTCATTGGATTACTTCAGTTTATTCGATTCAATTTATATTTGTTTGTCTAGTTACATGGCCCCTATTCAAGAAGCTACCCCCATTGCAACCGCAGGGATCAATGTCACAGTAAGCGCAACTATAGCTATGCTAACTGTGCGTAACTGTAATAATTTTTGGGTACAGCCATAAGCCACTGTACCGGCGTGCGTCATTGGCGCTGCCCTCCGGATTTGAAACGATTAAGTGATTCCATGCACACTGCATGATAATTGGATTAATATGCGCTGACAGCGGTCCCAGCCCAGTCCAGCCCAGTTCATCCCAACCCAGACAGCGCTCAGGATGATGAGCATGCAACCACCAGGGTTGCTGATGCGAACGGAGTCGGTGGGGGCGGCTGGACGGAACTGGATAGGCGGGCCGTTGCTCTGACTAAATGGCAAATTATAGGCCTGGCGCGGTGGGAGAATGTAGGGGTTATTAAGTAGATCAAGCAGTGCCCAGCACTAGTGGGTGCCCTCGTTATCGTCAGCATCAAAGTCACATATACTCTCTCCCCCTCCCCCTCTCTCTCACTCTCTCTCTCTCTCTCGTATGTCATATATCATGGCATCATAATCATGGGAGCGCCACTGCTGAAGGGTGGAACGAATGCATAAACAAACTTGTCTTTGGCTTGCGACTTTGCCTTCGGCTACGAGTGGTTGGCGTTAACCCTCAAATTGTGCTGCTAACCCTCGGCTTTTGTTGGTGTAAACCAATTTAAGCAGCCCTGTCGTGGGCGGAGAAGCATATTCCAAGTGCCATCGCAATGCTTGCGCTCTAAGGTCGGGATTACGATACGATGAAGTTGTATTGTACACATAAACATATTAATGAACGCATCCGCACCCTTTGCCGTGATTCTTTGAGCCAATTATGAACGAGGCAGAAGCATTTCGATTCGAAAATACTTTGGGCAGTTCGCCTGGCTTCGGGCCCAACAATTTGTCAGCCAAAATGTGAGCGGTAAACAAGCAAACAGTTCGGCATTTTGGTCAAACAACTGTTTGGCCACTTAGCTGTCCATTACCAAACGCCGCCGCTGGACAAACAAATTAAATTGATTTGCTTGCCGGGCCACAGAAGCGGCTTCCGAAGTGCCTGCCCATCAACATCATCATCATATTTGGCTTGGTGCTGGCGGCGGTGCGATCAAACCGAAATTATTTGACAATCGCGAGTAGAGCCGAAGCAGCTAAGTGCCCGACCAGAGTTGGCCAGCAGCCAGCAGCTCCGATCAGTGGCTGCCTAATTGATAAAGCAAACCGTATGAAAATTAGCGGCCAACTTAAAGGCAGAGCTCGTTTGGCCGACGATTTTCTTATGATTAATATATTTGCACAATGCCTCACTGCTAGCCTACGCAGTCGGGCGCTCAATTGCCCAAAGGCGGCAACGATTTTAACACCTCCTCAGCTCGGATCAGCTGCGCGCATTAAGATGAGCTGCACAAGTGGGAAGCTGGTCAGCTTCACCTTATTGTGGTTGTTGTTGCTGCCTTTTTTGTGCGTGTGTGTGCATGTGTGTGTGTGTGTGTGTGTGTGTTGGTTATCTCCTCATTAGTGGGCCTTGCCGTCCCGTCCCGTCTCGTTTCGTTTGAACTGGCCGCAACGCGCTCTTTAGACACTTGTTGTCTAATTACCAAAGCCACCCGCAATGGCACGTCTGGCGTTCTCTTTTTGGCCAGTTGTAAGTGTGGCACTGGGTGAAATCGTCGCCGAGCCAAGCGAAAGCCAAAGTTTCTCTTCGCGCCTGCACGTTAATCGGCGCTGGCTTTGATGCTCCGGCTGTGACTCCGACTCTGACTCCGACTCCAGCTGCTGCTGGGCTTATATCATGAATCTAACCATTTGCTCTCGCTCTTGTTTAGCTTTTGCTCTCAGTGGGCTTTGTTATGTTTTTTTTTTCTTTCTGGCTACGCAAAAGGTTCGATCTGGCTACGATAATGATCTGGCGCAATAAAATTGAAATGCGCCTGTTAATCGTTTCCAGATACATAATAATTTTCTGATCAAACATGATCAGGCGGCGACAGCCCCAGCCAAAGGCGATCTCCAATGGAGATCGCTATTCTTCTGATCTTCGCATATCGATCACTGTGCTTGGGTATCCCTGCCGATCGAACGAACGGAATACGCAAAAATCGCAGCGTTAGTTTCAGATCGGCATTCGACGAAGCTGGGATGCTCTGGCAATCGTGATATCCAAAGGGTTATTATATTAAAATGCTCTTTATAAAGATTGTGTGTCTTAGATATATAAGGAGAGATAATAATAATGTCTATATATAAAATTAGCTCCTCTATATAATGAGTTTATTTACATTCCGCATGCCTTAGGCAAAGGACATCGAGTCAAGTGCGCTCGTTTTTTAAAAATGTAGAGCATCGAACCCAATAAATCTTTGGCTTGGCGCATTTCTTCTTCTTGATACCGCTAAGCACAGTCAAATCGAAATGCTAAAAGAGCTATTGTTTGGGCAAAAGGGCCGCCGAAAACAAGACGAAGAAGAAGAAGAAGACGACGACGAAGACAAGTCCAAAAACGAAGACAAATTCGGACAAAGGGGCAACGGCGGAGCTCAGCTTGATAAGCATCGGCGGCGCAAGCTGCGCGATCTGCAGCGATCCTTTTAACGATGCCACAGTCAATATTTATGGCAGAGCTCGACATAAAAAATGTCAAACGGCCAACTTGGAGGCCAAGCCAAGCTGAGTCCGCTTAGCTAGAAATTAGAGCAATTAGCTCTGGCCCCTGCTCTAGGCCCCGCCACTTGGCGCGCTCTTCATAAAAAAGCAACTAATCAGCGTTGACATGATGGACACAAATATACATACATATATATATATATATATACATATATGCAGCACATACACTTATTCAGTGAAATGAGAAAGGAAAATAAATACTTTGAATAGAAAATGAAAATGTAAGGCTGTACTGCTGATTGCTGCTGCTGCTGTGACCTTTTGTGTCTGCTCTGCGGCTACTGTGGGCGTGCTGGATGCAAGTCGTAGCTTGTAAACAATTTTCATTATCAGATGATTACGTAATTTATAGAGCCAGGAGCTACCTGTGCGCGCGTTCTTGATCTGCCCGAAGCGATAACCAGCGGGCGACGAGGCATATGCACACACACACACACACACACACATAGACACACACACACACACATAGACACGTACATCTATTCTATGCATTCAGCATAAATGTCAAAGGGCATTTAATGAAGTTATTTAACGCTGCGTCCCAGGCCGAGCCCAAGAGGCGGTCCCAGAGGCTACCGTTCGAGGACGAGAGACCGGGCGAGGGCGTACTGCGACTGCGATCAGGTCTGCTGATCATAATCTGTGGAGTTTCGGCCCGATGTCTGGTTTGCATTGGGCCAAGCTGGCGAACTGGCAAACTGGCAAACTGGTTGGGCAATAAAACGCTTGCTATAACGAGCAACAAAATTTGTAACGATTCAATTTAAGGCTCTGTACAAGCGTCGGCAAAAGATGAAATAGGCAAATAGACGCAAGTCCCCAATGCCGAGGCACACCCCGCCCGACCCCCAAAGCACCAGCCGGAGGAGTCGCAGACACGGAGCCGTTTTGTATGTTGGGCGCATGTTGAGACCTGGCAAACGGTTCAATTCAATAAAATTTATGAAGACATGACTGGCAATTGTAGTCCCGACGTCGGCAACGGGCAACGGGCAACAGACCCAGCCCAGGCTCAGCTCCGCTCAGCTCAGCTCTGCATTGCGCAGAGTTCGACGTTCGACTTGGCATCCTTTTCAAAACAGTTTGACGCCTACTTGGCCATTGAGGGGATGCCTGCCCATAGCAACGACAACAACAACTGCAACAACTGCAACAACCGAACAACTCAATTGAAGTAGTTCGGCTTGACATTTTCCCGCAAATATTTCAAATTAATTAAGCGAAAAATTTGGTAGCCTGCTACGGCGGCAATTCATGAAAGGACGAAAAGGTCCTTTCGTGTACAACAAGATGTGCACTGATTTTTCGTATACCTGTCCGCACCAAACTGGGTGTGGCAAAGCCATAAATATGGCAAAGGATTTCAGAATTTTTGGCCGGTGCTACTGCAGCGAACTGCCCAGTGCCCAGTGCCATTGATACACTCGCTCCGATAATCGCCATATCGCAAGTGCTATCTTGCTACGTAGGACCTCGTCGGACCTCGTCGTGTTGTGCGTGTGGGAAATTTGTGCGTCTTTTGTTGCCGCAATTCTGTCATAAAATTTTCACATAAAAACTAGCTGCCTCGATAGTTGGGTCAGGTTTTCGGGTGGTCTGCCAACTAGCCCAATACAATATTAGCTCGATATATATGAAAATCTCTACAAGTCGTATTACTAGTAGCTCGTTTAATTTGTAATTACTTTTTGTTTGTACCTTTGCTATAGTTTTCCCGACTTTGTTATTGACATCTATTTATTCGTCTATGCTAACATCTAAAATCTGACTCTAATTGTATTTCAAGTGTATCTATTCCTTATATAAATCATATTTCAACTTATTTTTATCCGACCATATCATATTTGCTATCCTTAACTTCTTTTCAAAGTTTCTGATCAGTGTAACATTTAGGAATATTTTTTCCGACTCATAGCGGAACTAGGAAGGTACTGTTCAATTTTTTTTTTTTTTGGATAAGAAACCTTCATTTCATATTTGTATAACCGTATTGAATCTTTCATTTATTCATTTTTATGTGTAGTATCAAAATATTATGGAAATGTATAACCCTCATCTGTTATTCCTGTTGGGTCTGGGTCTGGGGTTGTTGTTATATCATATTTAGGTGTTGAAGTTAAAATAATTTTGCCACTTAGGCAGTCATTCAATGCCTCGTATGTGGTTGCGGTAAACTCGACATATGTTCTCTCCGCATTGTTGATGCAAATGTCCTTCGCTGAAATCAGTTTCTGATACAGTGCCTCCATATCCGTCAGCATTTCAGTTGCATTTGCTGAAATGCCGTACATAGTTTTCGACTCATCGGAGCCCTTAAAAGAAAATAGTAGTTACACTATGGCTACGCAGTCTTAGGGAAAAGTACTCACCACTTCCGCGTAGCACTCGAAGGCCTGTACGGCGCTCACAATTGAGGCGCAGTTATCAATCCGGCCGCAGGAGTTACGGCCCCTGGACGTAAGCTGCTCACGTGGTTGCTGCCATTTGGCGTACTCTATGACGGCCTGGTCCTCGTATTGGGAGTTACACAAGTTATATTGCGCCTCGTATTGCTCGGCGATGCTGTCTAGCATTGGTCTATAGAATGAAAAGCAAGCAGGTCCATTTGACGGATTCTGCACGCTCAGCACCTCCGCCTGATGCTGCAGGCTTTGGATCTTCGGTATTTGCAGCCTGGCAGCAGCCATTACGGCCAGGCCGAAGAGCACCACTAGACTGCCAGTCGACGACATCTCAAAGCTCTAGACAAACTTAATAGAGATTTGAAAATGCTCTGCTTTATATAAGGCAGCCATCTGGATATTGAACACCAATTATAACCTTTACACCTTCATATGTTATCAGACACGCTTTTCGATTTGATATATGTAATTAGTAGCTGTTATTTGCTGGAATTTATAGCGGTAATTGACATATAGTTGCTCTTAATTAATTTTGTCATAGAAAGACTTTTTTCTTATCTATCTACTAAGCCAACGGAAGTAATGATTGACATTTTCTAACCAAGTAATTTAATTACAATTTCAGTGGTTCTATAAATACTTATAGATATACTTGTATATATCATTTTAGCTTCCTATACGAAATTCATTTTATAAGTGAAAATTACATTTTCCCTTGTAAACTCTTCCTTATAATTGGATAACACAGTCTTAATAAATGTTAAGCATTTAGCAGCTATGGACAAGCTATGGACACTCCCTTTCGATGTTGCTCCCCCTCCTGCTCTTGTGCAGCTCTTGACCTTTTGCATCTAAAACTCCTCTTTGGTAGATACAGATGCCTTGACAGAAATCTTAGTCTTGAACTTTTACTAGATAAACTTGTCTTTGGTCGGATTGTTCCCGTCTATATATGGAGCAGAGTCTTCAGTATCTATAAAGTAAGTCAAGAATATATATACTTTTTGGGGTCTGCGATGATTCCTTCTGCCCGTTACATACTTTTTCACAAAACCATTATACCCTGATTCCCCATTTTCAATGGGTTCAGGGTAAAAACATTTGGATTTTTTGGCATTGGCTAAACAACAAAATCATACCGTCTTTTAGATATTTAATTGGGAATTTAAGCAAACTCTGTTACAAATGTGTATACAAAAAAGGTAATTGTTGTATGCTTTTATTTGAAATTGAAATTTAACGAAGTGAATTCGCTTATTTGGAGCTGCCTGGGTAAGTTGGGGCGTAGTCATAGTTCCATGTTGATCCATAGGGATCAGAAGTTGTGTCATCATAATTTGGAGGACGTGTAGCAGGGCCTACTGTAGGTGGATTAGGAATGTCGTAGCCCAGCAGACAGTTATTCAGTTGGCCATAGACCCTAGAGGTACCCTCAACATAGTTCTTCTCCGCAAGGTTAATGCACACGGACTTTGCAGTCTCGACCTCAATGTAGTCAGCCTTGCTCCTGGCAGCCAAGTCCGATGCGTTGGCAGAAATCGAATAGAAGATCTTTGAGTCCTCAGCAGCCTGAAAGAATATTTCAAATTTGATTAATATGTAAGTTTGCATTTCATCAAAAGAGCAATGAAGAAATTCCTTTTTACCGTAGTTGAGGCGCAAGTGAAGGCTGAGTAGGCATTCGTAATCATATTGCAGTTACTGAGGGATCTGCAGGACTGATAGACACTCGACTCAAGCTCTAGGCGGGCAGATTTATATAAATTGTCAATATTCGAGCTGCATGTTTCATAGGCTTGAATGCAACGCTCGTACTCCACTTCGTAGTTGCTCGCGACTTGGTTCAGTAGAGGATTATAGATAGAGAAGCAAGTCGTCGATGTGGATTGATGCGTCTCGGCCAGAGCCAGGGTCTCACTGTGAAGCTGTCGAATCTTTTGAGCGGCTTTCAGTGACGGCTGCAGATTACGAGCCAGCGCAACGCTGATGGTCAGAGCCAGTAGTACCACGATTACTTTCAAGGACATCTTCACAAGGATATTGTTGGGCAAGCGAACAGTCAACTCGATCGTTCGCTACAGAATTAGTTCTCGAATGCTGAAAGTACGCGCTGTATTTATATCTAAGCGCAGACTCCCGACTTCCATTATCTTTTAATTATTGATGTCGATGTACCTACTAGCACAAGCAGACTGATTTTTTTAAGTGTAACTTTTTAATCACTTTGTTTTTGTTGTTTAACAAACTTCTTTACTCATATTGATTAGGTAATAATTAAGTTTTGCTATATCTCAAATAGATAGATAAACTTCGAAATCAGATAATGTCTGCTGACCATCTGAAAATGTTTATAGGATGTATAGGATGTTGCAAGAATTTTTTCCCACTCTCATCAGTTATTATCACCTTCTCGCTATCTATTTTGAATCGAGCCTTAGCTACAAGTGACTCAGGAGACACTGATTATATAATTCAGCATGGCCTTAAAATCTTTACACATTTGAAAACATTTATATATGCAAAATGCTTATAGATTAGAACTATATATGTATATGTGGTGTATCCTATATGTTTATTCAGATAAGACAATACCATCCTATTGCAAAAAATTCGCACGGGTATTTTTTCCGGTTCTCATTGTTTACGTTAAAATAATCACTCGGTTTCGAGGAATATCCTTATCTCTAAGCTTCAGCAAAGCAAACAAATGGTAACTTTTGAAAGTCTCCGACTAGAAAATACCCTAGCTACAACAATCAGCTTTGTATTCATACGAAAGAGCAAATAATTTGCATTGCAATATAAAGGTATAAAAATATAAAAATTATAGTGAGCTGCAAATATTGCATTAAGCTTTAAGGAAATAGATTTGCCATAAATATTGTTTTAAAAAAATACAATGTTGTTATTTATAAGTACATATTAATTGAGCTCGGAGAGAATACAATTTGTCTATGACTGGCCAGTACGCTAGACCAAGCACTTATATTGACTCGTGTTCCCATGGATCCAGAGTGTGGGTATCAACTAACTATCATTAAGTTTGATTTAGCCATAAATTTATACCACCTGCTACTGTTGCCTCGTTGATAATGGAGACAATAAATAGTTTGCAGGGTGTCATTCATTCAGGTTTAAGAATTTGATATATTGATATAAAATATAGAGCATGTTTTGGAGATAGTCATAAGAATACTTTAATAATCATGAACACATTTATTATGCCTTTAAGCCTTTTCATGTCACATTTTAAAGGTCTCTGATATCGTAGGGTACTGGCATAGATAATTATTGATAGCTCTTTATTCGGAGATATATGACAATATGAGGGAATTATCAAATGAAAATTTAATATTAAACTGTCATTCAAAACTCATGTGCCATATAGATATTACATTATAGATATTACATTAAGAATCTTCGAAGTTTTAGTGGGTAATATGCCATAGATGAGCATTTCTCCAGAACATTAAAACAAAACAAAAAATTAGCTTCCTATTATTAACATACTATTTTGTTTTCTATTTTTCGCAATATTTTCACATATTTAGCATTTAAAAGATTTGAGGCGAATTGATTGTACTATTGGATTGGATTTCTGCTAAAGATTTCAAAAGCCACATTTATTGCTGCTTTCTTTCTTTCTTACAATGTGATTCAGCTATTTCCTTAATTATACGCATTTCACATCAATTTCAATATTTAAATGAAATGGACTCACAAATTACGCACTGGTTGAGGTGGTCGAGGTCGTTAAAGCTGCTTTGGTTGTGGGTTTTACTGTCGTGGTCGAGGTACTTGTGGTCTTTACGGTAGAGTCGTTAATGTCACCATCCAGGCAGCTCTGCAGCTCGGTATAGGTTTTGTCGGTATTTTCCCAATAGACGCGCTCGGCATAGTTGACACAGAACTCAGCAACGGACTCGGCGGCGCGGTACAGCTCCCTGATGATGCCACCAAATTCACTGGCGTCCGAGGACAGAGAGAACAGTACTTTCGAGTATGTGGAGCCCTATTGTGAGACGAAGCTTTAACTGTGCTCAAATGCCTAGTTCTCTAGGGCTCTCAGTGAACTTACCGTGCTGGCGTAGCAGTCAAAGGCATCAACGTAGTTCTCATTGCTATCGCACTTCAGAAGCGCATCACAGGTTTCCTTGGCGGTCCTGGCACTGTTTTCACGAGGCTCGTAGTATTTGGCGTCGATTCCATCACACTCCGCCTGGTAGGTGCTCGCACACTTGTTGTAGTCGGCCTCGTACTGGTCCGAAACATCCTTCAGGATCGGCAGGTACCGGTTGAAGCAATACTGCTTCAGTGCGGGGTCGCCAATGCCCACTCCACGGGCATTGTTCTGCAGCATAAAGTCCACCAAGCTGCGATCGGCGCTGACCTGGGGCTTCACTGGCATCATGGCCAAGGCGGTGCCAATTACCAAGAAGAAGGGAACTACTTTCGACAACATTATTTCTCGGTGAGCTACTAACTGGGAATGATTTGCTAAGGTGCCGGGCGCTGCTTTTATTTGCCGAAAATGAATATGCCTTGCCTGATTTATACTCGGGGAAGATTGCATTGCAAGCTATCAATGCGAAAACGGTTTCATTGTATTCTTATCAAATCGAGATATCAATTCTTTGGTTCATGATGGTAGTGTAAGTATTCGGAAATAATAAAGGTCAGTTTTTATTGGCATACCAAAGATTAAATGCTCTATTGCCTAAGGAACTGAGTCGTAAAAACATAACTGTAATTTAGACTTGATGTATGTCATATGAGAAACAATCTAGATGGAATAGATAGTTAACATTGATTTGTGATTTTTTCCATTTAATGGAAATGTCATAGTACCTTTATCAGGAGAACACCAATAACTAATTCTAAGAAATTGGCATTATTTTCTTGAATTGTAGCTGCTCCGATGGACATAGTAAATCTTAAAGTTTTGCCTGGAATTTGTGTTCCCTGATTTTGAATTACTGTATACTCTGTAAATAATGAGTACTCCGTGAGCATGCTACATAATATTATTATTAAAATATCATAGAGTATTCTAAGTCGCACGTTGACATATGAATTGGGCAACAAATGCATATTTTGATTGTGAATGAACTTGAATTGGGCAACAGATGTATATTTTGAGTGTGAATGAACTTGTTCTATTTTAAAGTAACAGTTATTGTCTGCTCTCACCTTTCGTTTTTCACATTTTCTGTTATCAGCTTTGCATGATGATAATACGCATGAGCAATTCGATTGTAAATTGTGTTAGAAAAGTACCGGATTAAACAATCAATGAGTATTATAGTCCACTATTGTGACGGCATCACTATTTCTATACTCTGAGATACTATAGGGTACTACCCGATGAATTCGTAGACAAGTTTAATATTGTAGTTCTTGCTTACTTTAGTTACTTACTTCATTTTGTTTACTGATGAGATTTTACATCACGTGCCAGCAATTCTGGGAACCTGAGGCTAGGTACTTAGTACATGCAAACACCAAAAACTTAAACCACTTCATAAAGTGAAATCTTACACGTCATGTAAGTGGAAATCCCTTAAATGTAAAATTTAGTTTTTCTAATATTTCTAGTAACTAACATATTAAAATTTTAAAATCTATAAAATTGTAATATTGGCCATGCAAAACTTATTGTTAGCTTTGGAAGAATGTTGAGGAATTTTAGTGACTAATTCTGAAACGATTTCATTATACGACGAAAGCATAAAGTTTGTTAACTTGTTCTTATTAACTTATTGGTTGATTGAGTAAATCGTTAAGCTCATATACTGATAATTTATTATTGCGATAGGAGTCAATAATTACGGCAGTTGCTAAGTAGTAGAAGTAGCAAAAATAGTTTTAAACAAAAAAAAAATTGTTTGTATTTTGTATGTTGTTCTTTTTAATTTAACAAGAAGCGTAGAAGGTAGAAGCATACTGATATGTAATAGATATTTCAAGTTTTCCTTAAATTGCATATATGCATGTTAAACCATTAACATATACTTATATATATATATAAATACATATATTATCTCTTATTTATTCATCGCATCCGTTATAAGTCGAACGTCTCATGTTTTGAAATTAGCGCTAAATAGCGCCACCTATCGGATTACGATGAAAACCAAACAGTATATTTGCCGATATATCGATGTTTTACCCTGCGTAAATGCACTCGTTCCAATTATCGACATTAAACTTAAATATACTTATATATCGAGTCAATGTATCGATATAAATAAGATATCAACGTCAGTCGCTGCTCGTTTGTGGTTGTTTTTTTTTCTAATCAAAACATATTTATTTTTCGTTATAAAAATATTACGTTTACAAGATTCAATAGTTGATTTACTTCCGGCTCATTTGTAAATTTCTTTCGATGACGCACAAATCAAACAAAGCAAATTTTCGTTAAGCTGCCAAGAAGACACACTCACACACAGATACACGCAAAAGTTAGTGCAAGAACAGGCAAAGAATCGGAAACGAAAAATAAAAATAAAAAATTCCCGAGGTGAAATATAATTGGTGCGTTCTGAAATACATAATATTGTTATATTAATGAGAGTGCAAATTTGCTGTCGTGTAAATAAAATGAAAAGGGCGTGTGACTGTTTATGAAACTTGTATGTTTCGTTATATGCTTTTCCTCGTGTTGCCTGCCCCCTGCATGGAGCTCTCCACTGCGCACAAATAACTCACTTAGTGGTGGGAGCTATTGTGAATTGAATGGCACTATACGAACTGTAACTTTAAAATACCATTGGTGACTGCCAAAGCGGTACTCAGGTTGCCATTTAGATCGTGGGTACTACGATTACAATCCTTCCGGGCATTCAGCTGCATTGCACTTGGGGAATTTCAAGTAATGAAATGTTCAATTAAAAAGTGCTCCACTTTCAAATAACATAGTTGTCAACAATCTACAAACTATTGTGTCATATATATTTAATCGTTGCGTATTTAACTGTAAGCAATGTGATTTTTTGATGTAAACAATGCAACGCGCGCTTATTTCGCTCATCACTAGACGTGGCGGCGCGCTTCTCAATCAAGATGTTTTACGTTTGACTCTAAGAAAATGAAAGCAAGAAATGCTAACACGGTATCGACAACAATAACAGCAAAAGCGAACGGTCGAACTAACACCCACGCTGAGCAGTAGCCGAAAGGCGTGTGGGCGTGCCAGTTCGGACCTGCGCTAAATTTAGCAACTGAGCCCGCGTCTTTGATAAATCGATGTGCGAGTGGAGTCAAAAGCCAATCGCGGCACCGCTAACTGCAACAACAACAACAAGACGATTGAAAGAGCGCAGCTGCATTAAGTCAAGTGTAGGCGGTTAAAGGCTCAATACGCATCCTTGATTCCGTATGCTTGTGTGAGTGTTTGCTCATGTGTAAGTGAGTGGCATTCTGTTTGTGTGCGTGCGCGTGTGTGTGTGTGTTCGTCGAGTGCCTAGTTTTTATATATATTTTTGCATGTTATTCGGTGAACTGTTTTAACTCACTCAATAGTCTCACTGTCTCCTCCCCACAGCAAGCGACGTCAAAGGCACGACTGGACCGAAAGTAATTCCAACTAGTACACACACATTATGTTCAATAGATATGGGAGGATTCCTGGATAAGCCAAAAACAGCAAAGCACAATGAACAAGGCGAAGGCAACAAGTTGCTCTTTGGCGTCAGCTCGATGCAGGGCTGGCGGTGTGAAATGGAGGACGCGTATTATGCTCAAGCCCGCTTAGGCAACGCTTTGGAAGGCTGGAGCTTCTTTGCGGTTTTCGATGGTCATGCAGGTTGTAAGGTGTCGGAGCATTGCGCCAAGCATTTGCTGGACAGTATCATTACCACAGAGGAGTTCAAGAGTGGGGATCATGTAAAGGGAATACGAACTGGCTTTCTACGCATTGACGAGGTGATGCGACAGCTGCCCGAGTTTACCCAAGAGGAAGAGAAATGCGGCGGTACAACGGCCGTTTGCGCATTCATCAGCTCAACGCAGGTGTATATAGCCAATTGTGGGGATTCACGAGCGGTGTTGTGCCGCCAGGGTGTGCCAGTGTTTGCTACCCAGGATCACAAGCCCATTCTGCCCGAGGAGAAGGAGCGGATTCACAATGCTGGCGGCAGTGTAATGATTAAGCGTGTCAATGGAACACTTGCTGTATCCCGTGCTCTAGGCGACTACGACTTTAAAAATGTTAAGGAGAAGGGCCAGTGCGAGCAGTTGGTCTCCCCTGAACCGGAAATCTTTTGCCAAAGCCGCCAAGACACCGACGAGTTCTTAGTACTCGCCTGTGATGGCATCTGGGATGTGATGAGCAACGAGGATGTATGCAGTTTCATATACTCCAGGCTAAAAGTGACCTCAGACCTGGTGAACATTGCCAATCAGGTGGTTGACACCTGTTTGCACAAGGTACGTCTTTATCCAATTATTTCACCCAATCAATATCTATATCTCTCGTATTTCTCTATTTGGATACACAGGGCAGCCGTGATAATATGAGCATTATAATAATTGCTTTCCCCGGAGCACCAAAGCCAACTGAAGAAGCTAAAGAGGCTGAGCGACGGTTGGAAAAACAAATTGAGAAGATCGCAAGAGGTTGTCTAAGTCGTCTACTCTGTTTATAACTAATCGTATACCTAACGATAGTCGTAACACAATTGTGTTTATGTATCTTTGTCGTCGACCCTCTACCCTCGACGTGTCCATCGACCTGACATAGGCGACTAAAACGAATACATTGTACCTTACGTAATTCATACAAAGATAGTCCCAACAAAACGTTGGCATAGTTTAGTAGATTATAATTATACACTCACATAAATACATACGTATATGTATTTATATAGCTAGATAGATAATTGAACAAATCGAGACCGCAATGCAAGCACACTTGCTATAAGACGTTCCTTCCACGTGGCACTTGAAACGAAAAATCAAAAAGAAAACCCAATTCAGATACAGAAAGCAATTGCTATAATCATTGCCAATACCCATTCAATGCATACATACGTATACACTTAGGTATACATAGCCCATGTATGTCCCCTGAATCAATAATGCATAGTAAATAACTGTATAGCGTGTTAGTTTATCATATCCACTACTTCCACTGGCTGTGCGTGTGGCCGAGTGACTGAATTTATTTGTATGTGTGTGTGTGTGTGTGTGTATATTACAGTATTATTTATTTATTTATACATCATATGTATTTGTGTGCTACAGCAACTGCCAAAGCGTTCCACGTGAGCGAACTCCTTGTAGCTGAAGAACCAAGAATCCTGCCCATTTTACCCAGTATATCATACTCATATATATATATAGTCATGTAGTAATACCATAAGCTTATTAGCAATTATTGATGAACCTTCCCGTTGTGAACTGTAGTTGAGGCCCCGTCAGCCAGTGTACATATGCCTGTATATAATCCAATATCCAAAAGACCCAATTATTGTGTTAATATGATAAAGTACCTAACCCATATTTGATACAACTTTTAGTATAGCGCGATCGAAAGCAAGTAGATTGAATTATTACAGACAGTTTATTAACACTTTTACAAACCAATAGAGAGCATTAATAGCAAATATTCAAATGAGTACTAGGAACACATTAGTGATCAGCCCATGTATTCCAGGAAATTGAGTAGTAGCATCATCAGAATGAAATGTGCATGTAATTTCATTTATAGTTGAATTGAGGGAATTGATTTTGATGACTCATTGATTTAGAGCTGCTCTAGGCGCACGCTCAAATATTAGTCATATAATATACATGATATGTGTGTAGAATATTTTCTAGTGAATATACGCAATTGACCTTAGGCAGCACACAGTATTCGTAACACCAAAGTGAATTTTTGAAGAACGTTCTTACGACCATGTTCAGAAGTACAGAAGTGAATTTTATATGTATATGTACGATGTAGACAATTACTTTGCGTAAATGATATTGTATATGGCTTACAAATAGTTGAAGCCACACTCCACAAATAATCCATTTGTCCTGTATACCAAATATGTAGTATTAAGTAGAGCCAAAGAAGCAACTAGTCAAACCAAATGTCCAGACAAATTACTTAGCCTAGGGTAAACATATTTAATGCTGGGCCTTAGGGTATCTGTATACGTATCAGATGGACCCAAAAGAAAACAAAAGTAGAAAAATTATGAAAAATTTGAAAAATGAAATAATAATCATTGTAAACCTTATGCTCACCAATTGTTGTGCTTATTGTCAACGTAAACAGATTACTTTAAATTGTTGAATTTAGATAAATGCGATTGATGCGGTGCAGCGAAGCTAAACATAATCAGGTCGAACATCTCCTCGATATGCTGAGACGATTGTACCTAAGTACTCTAGCAATCATTCATAATTGAAATCACTTGCTCAAGTAGCAATGTTTAATATAGAACATCATAATGGAATACCAACAAAACTAATCAAATACGTTTAATTATTCTTTTTCGCTGCTAAGTCCAAATATAACTTGAAATGAAAGATTCGAAAACCAATCAACCAAAAGTGTTTGTTTGCTGTGTTGTTCAGTTTTCAGTTTCCATTCGATAAACATTCGCTGCTTTTCCACGTCCTCTCCTCCTCCAACACGCAACACAAATAAATCAGCAACTCGCACGATTCATGTAATCGAGATCCAAGTTAATTTCTTTTCATTTCAATTCGTTCCTCTTTTATTTCATTCATTTTGTTTTTCCTTTCGGCACAACAATTTTAACATTGCGCAGCGTGTTTCAATTTGTAAACTTGATCATTTGTTTATTTTGAAAGTTGCTCGTTTGTTTAAAGGATCAGTCGAAACTAATGACTAATGATTTTTCCAAGTATTCTTTCTACGAAATTTGTTAAAGTCAATTTAGGAGCGCGGTCGCTGCTCTTGTTTTATTATCGTTAATCGCGCATCGTGCTATAAATCGTACTCTTATAATGTACACAATCAATATGAAAATGGGCGTGTCATGTCAATGCCAGAAAACAGAAAGCCAAACAAATTTTATGATGAGTGAGCATAAGGTAAGGCACATAGATCCCACCACACACAAATGAAAAAGTAAATGATATATGCATGCTCTTAAGATAAATCCAATTATTATACATGTTATCCAATCACTTTTGCCATTCGATATTTTCAAATGTTTGTTGTACACTGAATGCTGTAAACAGTTTTCTCATAAGCAATACCCCATGCAAAGATTATCTCCAAAAGGGGGCGGGGCAGAGCACTGCCACTCTTGGTTTCATTTTTTTCTTTAGTGTACTTACTCCCTTTTGACCTTTTGAAGTGCCAATTTTTGCGACACCCAATTTATTGTATTATTTAAGATTCCGACGCTACCAACTCAGGTCGATGGAATCTCGCAAATTAAACACTTTGTTCTCTTTGTATGTTATATGATAAACAATACAAAAAAGAACAAGGAAAATGAAAAAGATGAAACATTCGATCGACCTGAATTCATTTGCCAAGCCTCACGTTCAGTTTGTTGCTAAATTTTTGTCGGCCCTCGCTGTTGCAACATATTCCGTGTTCTATTTTTTTATGAATTGGGATTTTGCTTTTGCGTAGCTTTAATATGTATATATATATAAACAACTCGTATTTAATTGTACATACAATTTTAATTAACAAGAGCCTTAATTACTAAGTTCGAACCGCTACGCATTCGCAACAGCTACTTAACTATGTCCATATTTCTGGCATTTTTACAGAAGAGATTGAGAGTAATCAGGTCACGGAGTACGTGGAGCTGTTAAAGTGTCTCCAAGACAAAGATGACATAGTAGGTCTTCCACCCGGCGGCGGCTTGCAGTCCAAGTGAGTATTCCAATATCGTATATGTGTGAGCGTGCGCTGATTGGTTTGATTTCATTGCAGATATCACGTTATTGAGCGCACATTCAAGGAGGTATTTCCAGAGAGTCCATGTGAAGTACGAAATATTTTTTACAACATTTAAGATCGCTGCGAATCTTGCTTATTGATGCTTATTCATTTTCATTTGCTTTTAAGTTTTGCTTTAGCTCTTTTCATATTCTAGATGATTGCCCAGCTTCAGTTCACTCTATCTCTATCCTCTTCTTTCACATCTATCATCTAATTCAATAATCTGAAATCACAAGTTTCTATTCTAAGAATGAGGCTGCATCCCAACTAATTGTTGTTTAACAAATCGAAAGCTCTTTACGTATTCTCTTTCTTTTATTTCTAGCTGTATGCATATGATGAGCTATGAATTTTTTAATGCTAAATAATGTTCATTTCTAAATCAACAACAACAGCAACAACAACAACAACAACCAAAAATAAAACAAACAACCACCCAACAAGAGAACAATTGAAACTAAAAATCCTTGAAATTCATATACTCTAACTGTAAGGCGAACGCCACTCTGTCGTTTCCGTCTCTTGGTTTTTGCATAGATAATGAGCCTATTGTAAGATTTACAGCACCCAAGTCAAATTCAAAACTAAGTCAAACAAAACAAAAACAAATAATCAAACAGGCGCCCTGCATGCTCGCCTGCTGCTCTACCCCCGCATGCTCATCCAAAAACAATAATAAAKAAATTAATAATAATAATTGTAATACGAAAACTTCCATCAACTCCCTACTCCACACGCTTCATGTAAGCCCGCGCCCCAGCTGTGCTTTCTTTTTGATCTTTTCCCCACCTGTTTATCCGCACACGTAATAATTTGTCACTTTTCGTTATTTTTGCAGAGTCCAACGCATTAAAATGCAAATTAAACAGTCAACAAATGCAACAACAACAATAGCAATAGCAACCCGACAAACTTTAATCACACACACACAAACATACCCACACACTTATACACACACACACACACACACTCACATACACTCACATACACACACACACGACACACCAAAACCGTTTTCTACTTTGATAAAGAAAAACATATGGAAAAACCTACTAATAATAGAAATAGCCATTATTATATAGTATATACGAAAGAAAGTCCTAAACACTACTGCGAAAACCTTGTATTACATAGATCATACTTATAGAAAAGGGCGAACCTAAGCAGACCTCTCAGAGATAACTAAYACAAGCAACGACAAAATAAATATATATATATTATATAACTAACCGAACCAGGTTTGGCTCCAAGCCAATGCGAAAATACAAAATGCTGACCGCTCGGTCATCTAATCAAACTACCTTACAACTACTATATATTCCCAGAAGCTACAGATAGACAGCTACAATGTCAAAACACTACAGGCCACTATCTACTACTACTCTATATTGAGARATCAGAGCTCTATCTATCTATCGTTCCGTCACCATTTCAAACAAAGCATTCATTCACATACTGTTTCCTCGTCTTTGTTGCCCGCCTCCGAACTGTAGAAAAAGTTCATCTGTGTACAATTTTACCAAAAAAAAAAAAAAAACATCTAAAAAAAAAACGCAAAAAAAAACAAAAGAAAAAAGAAAAACAAAAAATATATATATATTGAAGAAAATAAAAAGGAAACCTTTATTGGCCCTGTCTAAGAAATTCGCTCGGGTGATGATGTCTGTACAAGAAGTTTTTATTTTAATTTTCAAACTGTGTATTAATAATATATATTGATTCCGAAAAGAAACGGACTTTTGTAAGCTGTATAATGTTTGTTACTGAAGGATAATTTTTGTTCATTATTTTTATATATGTATATGAGAGATGATATCCACTTTAAACACAAAACAAAATAAGTAAAGAAAAAATTAAACCTGTAATGGAAAACAAAAAACTATTAATCTGTAAGAAGTGTGCGAAATGAAATACTAAGAAACTTAAAGCAAAACAGAAAAAAAAAAAAAACAAATGAAAATGAAAACAAAAACCGAGTTTGTAGTAAATGTTGATAAAAAAGAAAAGAAAAAAGAGTGTAATCCTTGCAATTATTCACATTGTTTAATCGGAATTGAAGTGCACAGTGTACCAGTCGTATCACCTCCAAACGCGGCAAGTGTTATCCTTGGACGCAGTCAGTATGGCGTCGCCTGCGTAGCTGTAGGCGCAGCTGAATACCTCCGACTCATGGCCAGTCAGCACCTGGGAGCACTGGCCCGTCTCGGCCAGCCATAGGCGTGCCGTGTTGTCCGCCGAGGCGGTGAGCAGCATGCAGCCGCTGGGACTGAAGCACACCTTGTTCACCTCGTCGCTGTGGCCGGCCATGAGCGACAGCATCTCGAACGGCTCCAAGCTCCAGACGCGCGCCGTGCAGTCGCTGCTGCTGGTGGCCAACTGCTTGCCGGCCGCATCGAAGCTCACGTCCAGCACCTCGTCGCTGTGCGTCGACACCAAGTGCAGCTCCTGGTCCAGGCGGCGCACATCCCAGATGCGTGCGGTGCGGTCCAGGCTGCCGGTGGCAATCAGCGAGCTGCTGAAGTTCCAGACGCAGTTCGACAGCTCCGCCGTGTGTCCACGCAGCTGATGGCAGCAGCTGTAGGAGAATTGCAACAAGTGGCAAATCAATTGGAAATTTATCACACATGATTCACATGCCCACCTCTTGCTGCGTGTGTCCCAAATGGCGGCTGTGCGGTCAAAGGAACCTGTCAGCAGCAGCTGGCCGTCGCGAGAGTAGCGCGCCACAATCACCTCGGCGCCGTGGTGGCCCAGCTGTTGCAGCTCCTGCGCCGTTTCCGCATCGAAGATGCGCGCCTTGCCATCAATGGAGGCCGTTGCCACGTCCTGGTCGTGCGCAGGATTGAACTCGGCAGCCACCACCTCGGCTGTGTGGCCATACAACGTGCTCTGGCACTGTCCAGTGGCTGCCGACCAGATCTTGGCGGTGCCATCAAAGGAGCCCGTAATGATCTTGTCGCTAATCAGACCAAGCGTTAAGCATTATCAAACCTGCTCGATCCAACTTACCAGCGCGGCGTATTGAAGGCCACCGAGAAGACCACGTTGTCGTGCCCGTTGAGCACATGCTGCACCAGGCCGGTGCTGGTGTTGATCACATGGCAGGTGCGATCGTAGCTGCCGGTCAAGCAGCGCTCGCCACTGCGATCGAAGCACACGTTGGTCAGCGGCAGAATGTGCGAGTTGTAGCACTTGTGCAGATAGAACTTCTTCTTAATCGGCTCGCGCAGCTTCGCCTGCAGCTTCTCAATGGCTTGCTTCAGTGCGCTGAACATGTTGTGGGAGCTGGAGGCCTTGGAGTTGGAGGACAGGCATAATGGAGCACTTTCAGCGCAGGCAGCGCCTTCATCTGCTACTGCCTCGCTCACCTGCAGCTCCTCAAACAATATTCTGTCCGCCAGCTGCTCCGCATTTGTTCTGTGAATCAATATGTTTTCTCAATTGGTCACTGCATCCGGCTGGCTACTCACTTGGCATCCAAGTCGAGCAAATCGAAGTGTCGCAGTCGCTCACCCTTAGTCGATCGATAACTCAAAGCCAAACCTATCGAAATAGAGTCTCACTTGAAATTGCGTACACAGGTCTAAAATGATCCAGGACTCACCTGGCGGGTAATAGCGCAGAAAAATTTTATTGGCGCTCATTCCGCAGCTGTTGTCAATCAGGCGACTGTCGGAATTTCTTTGTCGAGTCGAGCTGCTAGCGCGTATCAGTTGTGCTTGCTGACCTGCTTTAATTTGTTGCGCGTTGCCTTGTCAGCCCCGTCGGTAGAGAAGCTAAGGGCAGGCAACTAGTTTGGTCGATTCTCTGTGCTGTAGGTCTGGGTGGGTGCGTGGGTGTGTCGAACTTTGCAGTGCAGTGTGATGCTAGTGTGTTGTGGCATGCATTTATTTATTGTATTACTTGTATATATTTACAGCTATAGTATTTGCTATTCGTAGCATGACTATAATGAAATTTCATTATGCCATTTTGGTTGCCCGCCATTGTTTCAAATAAAGCTTTGCTTCATACTCAAAAGCTTTCGCGCTACAGCTCTCTAGCCTGTTCAAGCTGAATTACAGAAATAGCGGCGTAAGGGCAAAAGGCAAAACAAAATGGCCGTCAGGTGTCGCCAGCGAGTGGTTTGTGTCTCCGCTAGCACAGCCAAATAATTGTTGAATTAAATCGTGTAAGTCTTGTTAATGCTGTTTAAATAATTCTCACATCTAAATATTTACTGAAGACTAAAAGTGGGCTAAGCAAATACATATTTTATCTTGTAATTGAATTAAATTCGTTAAACACTTAATTTATTATTCAATTGCAGCCTTGGGTGCTGCTAAAACACTGTTATCACCACAAGAATTTGCTTTGCGCTTGTTTATATCTATAAAACCTAATTAGCTTGTTTAATTCAATGGCCTCCAGGGGCCAATTGTTGCCACCTGTTCACAATGGTAGACGGAATAATCATATACCTGTATACAGATTAACATGACGTATACATATATGGATATAGTTATGTGTATATACACATTTATATCTATATATAGAGATATACAGATATATTTAGAGACCACACTCAGGGCAGAGCAGACACTGGAGCCCGCAACGAAAGCAATTAGATTGTCTTACCTTTCTCGTGCCTCGTTTCGACATTTTCACTAATTTAATTTGCTCGGTAATCACTGAGCCGCAGTGGTCCGGCGGTTCGGGCTGGGGAGCAATGTCCATTAGGCTAATACATGAACGCAGATAGCGAGAGATGAAAGACGCGCGCGAGAGTGAGCGAGCGAGTCAACACCAAAATGACCATAGCCAATAATGATAACAAATTATTGGATACTTATTATCACACCCCATTTTGTACCATCGCACAGAACCGAGGCGGACAATCCAACGCGAACAATGGGCAATGCAATGGCTGATGGGGAGAGAAGAAGACATTGGATAATATAATGCGAACCGCAAATTGCTTATTTATAATGAAATATTTCATTGATTTTGCCTTCGTCGGACACAGCGCCCAGTGCATAGTTCAGAGTACGAACATGAAAGCCAGATGCCGAGTGCATAAGCCTGGAACAGCGTATCGTGTTGAGGCAGCCTTGTCGTTGTTGTGCGGCAGCAGCAGCAGCAGCAACAGCTGCTGTCACAAATCATGTCTTCATTTGGCGACTTACTTCGTTAGGGCATCTGCTGGCCGGGGGCGAAGGTGGGTACGGAAATGGCCGTCGAACTGGAATGGATATGAAATCAATTTAAAAGCGCATAAAACGCTCGCGTAAACAAAACAAAGCAAAGCCGAGCAAGACAAAACAGAGCAAAGCAGGCCCAGAGGCTAGGCAGACACTGAGCATCAAGCCGATTTAAATTTATGCTCAATAAACTTTTGTTGATTTCCGGCAAGCCAGCTGCCTACCAGTGCTTGAGCCCTACGTGTGTGGATGAGCCCCGCAAAAATGCGGCGCTGCATAAATTAAAGACGCACGCGCCCATTCTCCCCCACTCAGCCACACAGAGATTCGCTCCCCGCCCAGCGAATGCTACCTTTAGCCACAAAAATTATTATTGCCGATTTTATGTGTGTGTCTGTGTCTGTATGTGTGTGTGTGTGCGTGTTTTTTCGACAGTTTGCCACCAATTTCGAGCCGGGTCAGCGGGAACCCATCCTCGCGCTGGCTGCTTCGTTTTGGTTAAGCAAATTATGTTTAAATGGCATAAACTTTTGCAGTGACGACGAGTTTCCGGGCCGATAGAGCAGCTGCCCGAGGCTTAAAATCAGATTTTTGTACGGACACTGCGAATGATATTAATACATAAACAGATTTTCGACTCTTATCTTGTTTTTTTCTTTTTGTCAGCAAAACGATTTCAGGTTACTTTGTTCACTGTGCAAAAAATATGAAATCAAATGGGTATATGGATTGCGAATTTGTGATATGAGTGTTATGAGTGTTCTGCAATAGCTCGCGATTTATATTAAAGCAATTTCATTTATCGTATTGTGGAATATTATATATTATTTATATATATCTACATA